TTTTTTTTTTTTTTTTTTTCTTTTATTATTATTTTCACACAACTAATTTTTTTTTTTTTATCGTTATTTTATAATAAGAGATTCGTGTTTATCATTGCGTTTATTTATTCCCTTTTTTTTTTTATTTTTACCTTATTTTAATTCTTTTTTTTTTCTCCCCCTTTATTTTTAGTTCATTATCATAATAATAATAATTATTATTATTATTAATTAATTATTCTTTCTTTCATTCGTTTATTTCATTTATTTATTTACTTATTTAATTATTTTAATCGTCTACGTACGTTGTCGTCCACCATTCTCACGTTGTTCATTGAAATTTCGTATCTCTCTTACGTTTACATTTAGTTTTCTTAATTGAATTTCTCTTAATCTTTTTTTTTCATCTTTGTTCTTGTTATTATTTTAATTTTTATTCATCGATTGCGAACGATCTATTCACATATCAACGGTAAAAGCGAGCTTTTTTTTATCCGTAGGAAACGGTCATCAGTTCGATATTTTTTTTTCAGTATTCAGAATTCTTTCTTTTTCTAAATTTCTTTTTTTTTCTTTTTTTATTTTCTGTTATTGGAAGATGACAAACGGATAAGATATACTGATGCATCGACGATGACATTTTGTTGATTCTACTTTTTTTTTCCTCTTTCGATACTTCTCTTGCTTTTCTTTTTTTTATTTCTTTTTTGTTTTTTAAATTATTATTCTCATCCTTTTCTCGTTGATATGTCTACTTAAATCTCAAAATCTTAATTTTATGTCGTAGATGTACACACACTCGCGCATACACGTACATACATACATACATAAGTACACGCATACTCATATTCTTTCATATGCACACAAGTACATACCATTCGCATACATGTGTAACAATCTTCGACAAAAGAGGAACCACTCCTAGTGTGTATCCTTGGTTTATATTTTATTCTTCTTCTAATTTACCTAATAAAATTCAAACTATTATCATTTTCAATTATTATTACAATAATAATAATAATAATAATAATAATAATAATAATAATAATAGTAATAATAATAATGTACAATTATTCTCTTATTTTCGAAGAATAAATTTATCATTACGTATGCTACATAATAAAATTAAATAAAATAAAAAAAAAAAACAAATGGAAGTTTCACTCTTACATTTTCTTATCAATTAATTAATAATCAATTAATTATAAAATGATGAATAATTATCAGATTATCGCTTTTTTTTTTATAAGAAATGGGACTTACTTCAGCTTCGGGTCGATCTTTCACACTTTTTCTTCCATGTGATAAATTTTTTATATTTTATTTATCAGTCCAAAAATTATTCCTAAATTTGTTAATTATTTATTATGGCGGTGGATTTGAGAGAAAATGAGTGATGGTAAATAAAGTGAATGGAAAAGAAGAAAAGATCGCTTACGAGAAAAGGCTTATTTTTTGTTTTTTTCTATTATTAATGCACATCGATCTTCTCTTGGCATCTTAAATTTAACGTTGTGTTTTTTTAATTAAATACGAATCGTAAAAAACAGCTACGAGAACGTGCCGACTTAGTCTTATTTTTGATTTTATTTATCTCTTTCCGTGTATTCGTTATTTTTTGTTTGTTTTTTAATTTCTTCTCGAGAAACTAAAGTCAGATAAATATTCTTTCATAAACATTTAAACATGCGACAAATTAAATCAAATGTTTTATAATACATTATTTGTTAATAACAAAATTAAATGTCTAATCGTATCATTTTACATAATAATTACATTAATTATTTCTTAATTTACACAAACTACTAATTTAAATCTATCATATTCGTAAATTACTTTCAAGACACATACATAATATACAAAATTTATTACATAGTCATAATAAAATAATTATATCCCGTTTCATAATTCTGTTTTTTTTTTTTTTTTTTTAAATAAGATTAAATAAAATTGTAGTAAACAAATATTGCATAAAGAAAATTTATTAAGTATAGTTTTAAGGAAATATTAAAAGAATAGAAGTAAAAAAAATCAGCTAGGATTAAAAATAAAATCCGAAGAGTTCAGAATAAAAGAAAAGAAAAGAAAAGGAAAGGAAAATAAAGGAAAATGGTAAACGTTATCGTTTTGAAAAGAAATAACTTTTAGCTTGTACGTTCTCTCATATAAATATCGTTTTACCGAAACTGAACACGTTATCTCGAAGGAGAAAAAGTTTTTGTCTTGACGTCCTTCTATCCAAGAGAAAAAGGGAGATCAACGAAGAAGTAAACTCTTTAAGTCCTCCCCAGATGTTCGAGAACTTCTCGTATACACAATTCTTGAACTTTCCCCTTCCACGTGGAATCAGCACTGTTCTCTTCCTATCTATAATCTTTTATATTTCTTTTATATTTTATTTTATTTTTATTTCATTCGATATATAATCGATAGTAGTAGTTTTGTATTTACCAGTGTGACCAAAAATTGGATGATTATTTTATGTAAAAATAATTTTGTTTACGTTAAAAGAGAAACTACACAAATAATTTAATAATAATTATAATTATTTTATTTTATTTTTAAATTAGTTTCTTTTTTTTATTTTATATGTGAGAATGATTATATAATTAAAATATTATGGGAAAAAATAATTTTTCTTTATGCTCATTTGTTTTTGAACAAAACTTATAAGGTGTCTTATTTTTATAATTGAATAATACGTAAGTTAAAGAGCTTATTTATAATTTTGTATAAAGTAGTATCTTATTTTAGTAAAAAATTCATACAAGTAAATTACGTAAAAAAAAACAATTTGCTTTTAATTCTTAAATAGTGCGTGTAAAAGCTTATTATTAATATTTATCTTTTCATTAATGTTGTTTATCACTTATATATTAAAGAATTATTAAATATTATCTTACGTATATTTCACTTTTATATTTAACTATTATAAAATTAATTGTTAAAAAGAGAGAGAAAAATTCAAACATGATTTATGATAATTACTTCAAGAAATATACAAAATTATAAAATACTAATTAAAATCGATTTTGTGGATTGAAAAAGAAATACTTTGGAACAAAAATTTCATTCTAAATTTAAATGAATTCTTTCACACACGAATATATAAATTCATCTCGAGAAGAATTACATTTGCGTTTGCACGGAAATCGATAATAAAAATTGAAAATTGACTGGTCAGCCAGCACGTTACTTTTTTTTTTTTTCGAATAACAATTAACACCACCGTCGATTAAGTCACTTTTTTTATTTTAATGACTTTCTCCAACTTGATTAGATAAATTATTAATTATATTTGAGGGGGAATCTTCTAAATCTTCAATTATCTTCTTCTCCTCTTTTTTTTTTTCTTACCTTTTTCATTGATTTCGAATTCGCAAAAAAAAAAAGAAAGAAAAAAAAGAAAGAAAAAAAAAAAAAAAGAAGGAAAAGAAGACAAAATCGACGAAGATGTTAACATTTTCTAAAATCGTATTTCACTAAAGTTCACCTTCGCTTTTAATCATTCGTTCCTTCATTTTAAATCCTTATCTTGAAAAAAACGAGAAACGTTATTATTTAACAAAAGTGCATCATCGCGCACGACGAGAACGTTTACGATAATAGTCGTCTCAATTTAATTGTAAGAAAAAGAAAAAAAAAAAGAAAAGAATGAAAAAAAAAAATTATTCTATACCTATTATGAGAAAATGAAAAATCCATTCATTATCAGCACGGATACGATTCGCGTTTTTATTTTTTTAGTAAACACGAAAACAATTGGGATTTTCGATTAATATCATCGTTATCGTTATTATCCATTATTATTATTAATTAATAATAATATTATTACTATTGTTATTTTAATTCATTTCATTTTATTTTATTTATTTATTTTTATTTTTTATATTATTATTATTAATATTATTATTTTTATTATTCTTACTCTCGGGTTTATTTTTTATTTCACTCTCGAACGAGTTAGTTATTATGTGGTTTTGCTCGTGCGTTTGATACCTTTTTTTTTTTATTATTATTTCATTCTTATATTATTTCTTTTTTTTCTCTCTCTCTTTTTTCCTTAGTCGTATTATTTTTTTTTTTTATGCTCTCTCGTTCGTTCTCAATTTTTTCGTTTGGTTTTGTGTGTGTCCTCGTTAATCGTCAATTTGAATTATCTTACTTCTTATCGTTAGGTAGATAGGTTATTTAGTTAATTATTTAGGCTCGTTTTTAGAGGCGATCGAAGACAAAAACATTTTATTATGTTTTTATCGAAGATCGAACAAACGTTCGTCTAATGTACTCGATCATCATCTTTTATCTTTCATCTTTATGATTATTTATTTCTTTCTTTCTCTCTTTCATTTATTACTTTAATATTTTTTTAATTGAATGCTCCTGCATCACCTACCACCATTCACCACTATTTTTATTATTTTTAAACCGGCATGAATATTTTCGTCATCTTTTATCATTTTTTGTTTCTCTTTACGCGAACCATTTATTTATTTCTTTTTGTTTGTTTTGTATTTTCAATGACAGAACGTAGCGAAAGAATTTTTCTCCCTCTCTTCGCGTTTTTCTTCTTCTTTCTTTTTTTTTTTTTTGTTTTTTTTTTTGGGGGAATTTATAAATATCGTTTTATAGATTTTGAATTGATATCGAGTTGTTACACACGTTTTGTTTTATTTTATTTTAATTTTATATGATTTTATTTTATATTTCAATTTCATTGAATTTCTTTCGTAATATTCGTTCTGTCTCTCGTTCATTCATTCTATCTTTATCCGTGTGTACGCGTCTCTGTGTGTGTTTTTAATCGTTCAATGAAGAAATACACTAGTGACGGATCTGGTGGTATGTGGGGGCAGGTCGGGGGCCTCAGCCGGGGCCCCCTCGTATCCCTATGCGCTCAGGCCCATTCGATGAATCTTCGCTGATAGAAAATTATGTAGAACGAAGACTATCGGTTTCGGACAACTTTCTAAATCCAATTCCTGTTGAACATACAATGTTTATTAATGTTTTACTTTTATTCTTATGATACGCGTTAATAAAAACTATAATTTAATTTATTTAAATATAATTATTTCTGTAGGATTCGTGAATTAATGAAACAATTGTAAAGTTTGACAAATATTAAATGATCAAGTTGCTGATAGAAGTCCCTAGTAAGGTACGAAACGTACAACTAGTTCAAAATAAATTGTTCATAAGATTTAACAACCGTCTAAAATTCACTTTGAGACTTATATTAATAATATATTTCTGGACAAGAATATTGATAATTAAGTTAAAATATAAATTTAAAAATATACGCACAATTTCACCATCCTCCCCGCCAAAATCTAACCATAGTAAACGTGCCCCATCGTCGGCAGACATTTTCAGTTTGTCGAAGGATCTTTTCCAAAGAGGAGTTGGTGGTGATCCAGGACTAACGCCGTTTCCAATGACGCCCCTTGTCCCAGTAGCGTACAACGAGAATCCCTCTTCGTGATTGACGACCAACTGGCAGGCTTTACCCTGCCACGTGCACCCTGCAAAACAAAAATAAAGAAAAACAAAAAAACAACAACGATAGGGAAAAGATGAAAAAAGAAATACGACAGAGAAATCCGTCCACCGGTTCGAGCTGGTTTCTCCTCCCCCGCCCCTACGTGATTTAAAGGGTTCCCAATATTTTTTTCCGCCACTTCGAACAAATTATTCTTGAAAAAGAGAGAGAAAAAAAAAAAATAACACGAAGAAAGATAAACAAAAAAAAAAAGGAAACGAGATAAAAATTAATTTGATGACATTTTTGTGGTATCAATTAATATTGATCGTTTAAAATTCATTTATAATATTTATATTAATTCGCTTGTGATTAGTTTTATTCTTATCTTTATATGTTCTTTATTTTTTTCATTATTTATATATTCTCATTTTTGATAAATTTATTTCATTATATTTCTATTATTTCTATTTTTGTTAGAAAATTAATAATTACGTTAATGATACACATCGAATTCATTAATATGTATAAATTCAAAATAAAAGATTATTAAAATTATCACGATATTGGTATCAAAATTCTTTTCTAATCTAAAAAACAAAATCAGTATATATATATACATCTAATAATTATTAATACTATTAAAATAACCATAATCGGGGGGTATTCCAATCCTTATTTATCTGAATTACAAAAAAACAAACTTATCCAAGCTCAATTTAGATCGTAAATAAAACCATAATTGGTATCGAAATTCTTGCTAATTGAAAAAAAAAAAAGAATGCACATACTTAATCAACTATAGAAGAGAGTGTATCTGCCAATAACCATAACATTTACCCTACTACAATTTTATTTTATTTTTCTTTGGTTTTAAAGTAGAATGGAATCGAGCGAGAGGAGGAGGAGGAGGAAGGAGGGTACAGTGGTAAAAATCCATGGTAAAGTTTTCCCGGCAATAACATGCATATATATATATATATATATATATATATATATGTATACACAGAACCTCGAACATTTTTACGACTCTTTATCGTCCTCTTTTCCTCCTATCCTCTTTTCTCTTTCTTCTTCTTCTTTTACTTCCCTTCACAACCCTTCCCTTTACTTCTAAACCATCCCTATTTCTCTCTCTCTCTCTCTCTCTCACTCTTTCTTTCTCTCTCTTTACTCTCTCATGGGGGTAGAGTTTATGATCGATGGATTCGACGAGTGGCGAACAAAAAGGTTTCCTGCGAAACGGGCATCCATCTCGATTTATTATTGCCGTTCATCGTCGAACGAGAAAAGAAATTAAAATTCATCGAAGCGAACGGTTTCGAATCGTCGACGAGGAGGTGGAGGAGGAGGAGGAGGAGGAGGAGGATGGTTCTTTCGCTAAAAGAACATCGTGATAAACGACGACGAATAAAAAAAAAAAAAAATAGCGAGAAAGATAAAAAGTAGAAAAAAGAGTGAGAGAGAGAGAGAGAGAGGAAAGAAAGATAAAGAGAGAGAGAAAAAAAAAAAAGGGTTTTGACTTAATCGTTACGTTCTTCATTCCTTACTTTCCCTTTTCTTTCATTTTCTTTTCTTTTCTTTTCTTTCTATCTTTTTATTTTATTTCGTTTCCCTTATTTCTGTTTCCTTTTTTGCGCACCCTTTGTGCGTTTTTTATTTTTTATTTTCTTTTTTTTTCTTTTTTTATTTCTTCTATCGGATTTATTTACAGTTTAAACCCTTCGATTTATTTGTTTCGATTTATCCGAGAGCTCGGAGATATCCAATTACATTTGCATACTTTTATCATTCGTTTCGTTCCTTTTTTTTTTTTTTTTTTTYTTTTTTTTTTTTTTTTTTTTTTTTTTTATGTAAAGAAAAATAAAATCTTTCAACGTAACGATAACGGATCGACCGAGAATGTTCGATAATGAAAAATTGTTTGATTGGCGGTAAAACAGTTTTCAGTTCTTTGTGAAAGATATTTGAAAATGTAGACGCGGGAAAATTATGTTTGCAATTGAATGAATTTTTTGTTTTAACGTTTTGTTCAATCCGGGGATACCAGTAATAATCGAAAAATATCGAAAAGAAATCCCGAATATATATTTGTAAATATTTTCATTAGAACATAATTTTGATATTTTACGTATTAAAATTACATATCATTTTTTTTCACATTTAGTGTTTATATATTTATGTTTATGATGTTAAACATTATTTTAATTACTGCAAATATTGAAATGTTTTTTTTTTTTTATTAAACTTTGACGAAAAAATCCTTTCCCGTCGAATTAAAAGTTTGTGGTTAGTAATTAAAAAAAATGTTTCTTCACATGTAAATTTTCTCAAATATTTTTCTTTTAAATTTAAATATTTCAAATGAATTTTCTTGTTTTTCTTTTTTTTTTTTTTTTTTCTTCTACGTTTTACATCCCGAGTATGCATATTTACATAAACCGTTCACGTAGTATTATAGAATACCGGATCGAAATGATAGCAATTTGTGTGAATTATTTATGCAAACGAATTAATAACACGTATCTTTGAAAACACAAAACACAAAAAGAATATCGTTATCGTTCGATAAAAACTTATTTAATTATAACGATAGAACGAACGCTTTCATTTCTCCACCCTTTGTCGCTCATCTCGTTCAACGATGCGAATTCGATTAAGTGCAACGACCAACCATTTCATGCGATATGCGTTAATTGCTTCCTAGGAATCTTCTATTTCGCATACATGCACGCGATAATATAATATTATTAATCTTTAGTATCTGATTAAGATTTCGAAAATATTTCAAATTCACGAATTAATTTGATCAAAATCAATATTAAATTCATTCAAATAAATATATTCAAAGTGTTTGAAAAACATTAGGATCAAACCATGTGTTAACACCAAACTTAGCGACATTTCATATATATACTTATTTCTAATAATCGTAATCTTAAAAAATTAGTTAAATTTTAATATAATTAAACGTAGAGATATAATCGATTTAATTATAAATTAATTAATTTAACGATTCGACAAAAATAATGAACACAAATGAAATAAACGTTTTAACGAAGTTATGATAAATCGAAATGAATTTAAAACAAATCATAAATTAATAATGTCAACGTGATATAAATAATTGTGCTTAATCATATACGTGTATTTCGATTGTGTTTAGAAAATGTAAAGATTACTTTACACTAAGGTAAAGTAAAAAGGGTTAACTTACGAACGGTATATTCACGTAACGATGCGGCTGCTGCATGACAACCCTGAACAATCGCCCTTGCCCAAGCTGCCAGATCCCTTCGTGTTTCAGCACGCAGATGATGCGTTACGACGCCGTCGATCGTACCAACGCGAACCGCGAACGTGGCACCGTGCTGTGTAAATCCACCACTACTACTAGCCGCTGCCTCATTTTGTCTTGTCGGTGATGAAACCAATCTGTCAAATTACGTACGGTAATTTAAAGTTAAACGAACCTTCTAAAGTACACGTACCTTATAAAGTACACGTACTTTCTCTTATAAACGCAGCTTTTCATTATTATTTAACCCTCTGTGGGGCCAAATTTTTGTTATAAATTACAACAAAAAAATTAATTGCAACCGAAAATCTCTCAATAATTATTATAAACATATATATGTGGATGAAAAAAATTATTTCCGGTTTAAACAAATTTTATTATACAATAAATTGACTGTGTAACTTTTAGGCCCATATAATGTTTCCCACTTCTGTGTAGAAAAATTGAAATTCTACGAAGTATTTTTTACCTAACGTTAAACGTAAATGTACATTGCATTTTGAACATTTTTTCTGTTGTCTGAAAAAAATTGGCCAATGTACTACTTCATCTTTCCGCACGTTTTTTACTTGAAGTACTGCTGTATTTGGTCTCCTTTTTATATTTTTATGTAATTGTTTATTAACATTGATAAAAATAGAACGCTCTTTTTTCTTACGGATTCCTTTATAGTCCATAGAGGGTTAAATTATCGACACACATATATATATAATCGTGTTAATATTTTGTAATTAATCTCAAATATATTGTGTGTTCGTTGTGAATAAAATTTAGATTATATATATGGACTGTTTACTTTGAAAGTGGTATAAGTCTATTAACAGCCAATAAATAAACATTATTTTAGTTAAATAATAGAAACATTATTGAATTTGATATAATTAATGAATATTTTTAACCCTTCTTTGCATGATTTTTTCTTTTTTTTTTTTTGAAGTTGCCAGCAACAACAAATATACAGTACAAGGGTTTTGAGTACCTTTTTTTGTTGACTAAATATTATGATTGAAATTTCCATCATCGTGCAAAGAAGGGTTAAATTAACTAATATGCAAACCTTTAATTTTCTCGAAACAACAGAAAATAAACTTACACCACTTTCAAAATAAACGATCCATATATATACATACATATATTTCTTGTTTCCTTTCGAAAGTGTAACGTCACGAAAAAAAGTAGACAAAAATTACGAGAGGATATCGAGGAATGTTGGAAGAAACCAGCTACGAGTAAATATTTCAGGTTAGAGGGGGGAGCAGCCTCCTCCAGTGAGTCGTTCTTTAAGCAGACAACCGAAAAAGAAGGCAAAGTTGTCCCCCGGAGGCCGTCAGAAGTGAATGGAAACGAAGATTGAAGATTCTACCGAGACATTGGGCTACGACGTTATATATATATATATATATATATATATGTATAGATATGTATATGAGGATATACATACATACGTCGACAAGACGGACATTGAAAACTTTGAAAAACGTTGCCACCGTTTATCGCTCTACAAACTCACAATCTTTTCCTATTTCTTGATCCCTCCCTCTTACAATCTACCTCTTTTCCCATCCAAATCTTTTATTTTTCCCTCCCTCTTTTCTCGAACTGTTAGGAGGCCGAGGGGGTGGGGAGGCGAAGGTGGGGTGGGGGGGGGAGCGAGTGGTTCCTTCCTTCTGCCGTTGAATCTTTCTCACGATTTACGCTGACGATTCTTTTTCCGTTCTATTTCGACGCCACTAAATCGTTCCTTCTGTTCGATCGTAAAATTTTTGAGATTTTATTGCGTCCAAGATGGATTCTCGATTGGCAAGAAGGATTTCTTTAGCTCAAATTTTACATTATCCAAGATGTGTCTCTCGTTACCATTTCAAGATATTTTTATTTTAAATTCGTTCTTATTCATCTTACTATTATTATTAGATTTTCTCAAAAAAAGAAAAGTATTATATAAGAAGTCGTATTTAATCAATATCGGTATTTTTGTTTTTAAATAAAATTAAATGGTTGTATAAGAAACAAAGAAAAAAGGAAATACATTATATCAAAATGATTTAATGAAATTGTTTTATGAAAATATTAGGATATTCCAATTAAAATTTCTCATACGATCAATTTTTATTCATTAATTATATCTTTAATTATATTTTCCTTTATCAAAATTTATCATACAATAATTGAATTATAAGAAGACATTTCTAATGATACTAATTATATATCAAAATTTCCAAAAATTATATCCTACGGTGCATCACCTTACTTAAAACATGAAAAATAAAAGAACCGCCAGTTCGAGGAGAGATAGATACATTAACTAGATCATAACAAATTAATTAGCACTTTAGAAGGAAACCTTGTTAAGGAGAAATACCTATCCAACGCAATATCTCATCTTAAAATCGATTAAAAGCGTCTATGAGAAATTCAAAGTAGATGAGAAAGGAAGTTGTGTATCATGAAAATGGATAGGGTACTGTGTTACTGCTGTTCGAAACATTCAAGGAAATGTTTCCGACGTTTCAATGCTTCTATAGAGAATTTGGTAACATTTAGGCAACCCTGTTGGAGAATGTTCTTCAACAAACCACCCTCCTTTTCCCATATCCCTTCTTATTCTCTTCTTCGTCACCTTTTCTCTTCTCCGTAATCACCACCATCACCATCACCATCATCCTTATTACTTACTTTTATTTTCTTTTTTGATTATATTCTAATAAAAAATTCAAAAGTAAATTGATAATAATTGGATAAAATTGTATCATAATCCGTTTAAAGTTGCAATTGGATAAGTTTAAAGTTGACGAAGTAATAGTTATGAGTTTGAATTAAAGTGCGATATTCGATCAACGTGATGATTAATAGCTACATTATACGGATACGTAGTAACTTCTCGTTTGTTCGATAAAAACCAACCGACATGTGATATTTCCTATGACGCTTAACTGCCTCAAATCCAAAACGATAGCTTCGCTCTCGAGATTTTAATCAAGCATTTTCGCCATCGGACAATTTTAACCATCCTGTTATAACGAAACGAATGCACTATAGAAATCGGGAAATGTGAGAGAGAGAGAATGAGAACAGGATTTGGCAATTTTTCAAAATATTAAACCCGATGTCGAACCATTGTCGGTCGATGGTAAAATTACGAGCCTTAATCGAATTATTTTTGCGCTAGTTTTCCATCGGTTATTGCGAAATTTTATATTGTCCTGGGAATATCCGTTGGGAATAAAAAGTTATTAACAAAATTTACGTATTTTGCATAAAGGATAGGAAAAGTTTTCTTTTTTCTTTTTTTTTCTAATTTTTAATTTCTAACTATATTTTTATAAACATATATATATATATATATTTTCTCTTTATCCTGAAATTTTTAATGTTTAATCTTGAAAATATTTTTCGCGCGCGAACGACGATGATAAATAAATTTAATATATTCATCGTGGAAAATATTATGAATCTAAACTTTTGAACAATATCATGTCTTGTTCTTGTTCTTTTTTCAAACGATAATCGATATTCGACGGTAACCGTGAGCGTTATACTATTGAAAACTGTAAAAAAAAAGAACGTTAGAAATGGAGAAGGATAAAAAAAAAAAAGGAAAAAAAAGAAGATAAAGGTAAAGAGAAAAAGACGCGCAAACGTATACGCAAGAAAGCAAAATAAAGATAAAAATGAAAGGAAAGAGATTCGAGGTAAAACCCCAAAATAAACAAGCCAAAGTAAAAAAAAAAAAAAAAAAAAAAAAAAAAAAAAATATCTCTAGGTCCCAACTTTCACGTAACATCGAACAAGAGAGCAGTGGCACCATCGCGTATCGGTTTGGGCGACACGGATTTATAGGGATTTCGGAGAGTCGTGACAAGGGAAAGGGGCCAAGAGAGCAAGAAAAAAAAAAAGAAGAAAAGAAAAAAAATAATGCAGCAAACAAACAACGACGGGGGAAAAAAATATCGCGCAAAAAGAAGCGCTCGCGTACACGCGCGGAAGTAAAAAGAAAGGGGAAAAAAAAAAAAAGAAGAAAAAGAAAGGGAAAATAAAAATAAAAATAAAATAAAAAAAAAGAAATAGAAATAGAAAAAGAAACAACGTGGGTGGGAAAGAAAAAAAAAGGGGGGTCTGTGTAGGCAAAAGAGAAAGAGAGAGAGAGAGAGAGAAAGAGAAGGGTGGGACGGGATATTTACAACGTTTCGGGGGTGAAATAAAAATCGGTGAGGGAAAATACGGGATCGTCGTTGAATTCGACTCCAGCTAACGGTCGCATTGGGCTTCGATGTGGCATCTAGCTAGCAACCCTACCCTCGTTCCACCAACTAACCCCTCGTCGTATCAAACCACCCCCGAAACCACCGACAGGATCGAAACAACTTCCACCCCCTACCCACCCCACCCCCCCTTCCAGCTATTCCTCTCGCGTATGAATATCCGGCCACGCGAGTGTTACGTCACGTTGCTGACGTACGAGCTCCTCCGGGTGCGATCAGGTTTCGAGCTAGTTCCCTCTGGAATACAACCAATAAAACCGTTATTCGTTCTTTCTATCTTTCTGCCATCCTATCCTTTCTCTACCAACTCTCAACCCTCACCTGCATACTCAACCTCGCCACCCACCCACCCATCCACCCACTCTTCCTACTCTTCACTGTCTTTCTTGCCATAAGAACACACGTACAATACTTCCTACGTTAGTTTCCTTCCTGAACTTTTTAAATTCGGGCAGAAGAAATACTAGGTTAAGGTATATATATATATATATACAAAAGAAAAAATAAATATTGGAAAGTAGGAATTTTTTTTTTGAAGTTTTCTTTGGTTATAAATTGCTTTGTATTAATGTTTATCGAAAATGTTATGCATGGATATGGATTATTAATGGGTTTAGATTATACATGCGTATGTATTTTTAGCAGAATTGGTATTTTTTTTTTTTTCATTTTTAATATACAAAAAAATTTAACAACATTTTTTAACAAACGTATATATTAATATTATCAATCGCAAATGATTATATTCCATAAAGTAAAATTAAATCAAATACTTTGAAAGTTACTATTCTAAAAAAATTATTCTAATTGTTACGAGTCTAATTCATTGCATGCACTTTTAAAAAAAAAAATAATAATTATAACGATAAACATCG